AAAAGATTTTGGAAACTGTTTTTAGGCAGACACATTATAAAACACAATTATTATTGAAATAAAGTTTGTCAGAATAGTGACTAGATTTGATTAAAATCAAACTTATGTGTAGAATCTTAAATGTCTAGTGGATAAAATATTAGCTATTTGACCAGTAAACCAAGTAGAATAAAAATGTATATTTGCACTATGTTTAATGTTGACAACTCTAAAGATACACCTGTTTTATGAAATGAACAATATTAAACTAGTTTTATTTAGCAAAGATTTACCAAATTACGGGAACTTTATTTAGCAAAGATTTACCAAATTACGGGAAAAACAGTTGAGTTGGTTCTTATATTTCGGGAGTTTTAGGAAGATTTAATTTATGTAAGTGCTTGTTCCTCTCGAAGCCAATTAGGATAGAACTCCTTTAAGGAATTTTATAACCTGATTTGGTAATACCATCTGGAGGTAGGGAAATATCATATATATATATAAAAACATACAATCTTACATAAACATACAGACAGATGCAAACAGAGATGGTTTTCTTTAAAAAAAATTTTAGCTATGCGTCAAGCATAAATACAATTATATAAAACTCACTAGTTTATATAAGAGTTGGACCTTGTCTTTGCTTCGTTTTATATTTTTATCTGAATCATGTTGTGGCAGGTGGGGCAGGCTAATTACCTGTTCCACATGAGGCCTTAAAGCTTCCCACCAGCATCTGTGGGGACACCTTTAAGACTTTTTCTTCACTGATATATACGTAGGGAGGCGTAGACTAAATGTTTCCAATTCACTTTTTTTTCCTTTTCAGCCTCAAGTGATTGCTTTCCAGGGTCCCTGAGTCCCTTGAGAGCCCCCAGTGGGGCAGGGCCCAAGGTTTCAGGGGCTGGGGGATTTTAGGGGCTGAGGGTAGGGAAAATGCTGGGAAGGGACAGAGGGCAGAGGAGGCAGGGGCTGGGGGAGGAGGGAGTGGGAAGGGGAGCCACTCAAGACCACCTTATCCTTAGCAAGGATGCTGTGTCGACCAGGAGGAAGTGGGCAGAGGCAGCCCGAGTGCTGCTCCGTCAGCGGGGCTGCAGGGAGTCCCCAGGGAGGAGCAGAGTGGCCCCCAAGGGCCAGGAGGGACTCCAGCCCAGGAGGTGCCCTGGCCTTCCCCTGCCCCCTGCTTCAGGGGCAGCACCTGTCCTCACTGTGGTCTGCGGACATGTCTGGAGCCAGAATCACAAGGAAGGGAGATGAGCCTGTGGTCCCTGGGCCTCCGCGTCCCACGGGGTGTACACGGGCAGTGCCTGAGCGCACAGCTTTGCGTGTCCCCGGCAGACCCCCAGCTTGGGCAGCCAGCCCCTGGACCCCGTTCACAAGGACCCTGGCCAACCCACCCTTTTGTCCCCAACTGTTGCCTGTGCTCTGAGGCCTGCCTTCTGGGGACGCTGCGCCCCTCAAGCCCTTTCTCCGGGAGGCTGGCCGGCCCTGTGTGGCTCCTGGAGCCCCCACACAAGTGCCATATGGCCCTCCCCCGGCTTCCCCACGAGTGTGGCTGAGGCCCAGGCGTCTGCTGCTCTCCAGACGGGGAGGGCCACCCGGGTGCCACAGCACATTCAGCTCTTTGCAGAGGGGCCAGAGGCATTCCCAGTGTCTTGATGGACCTTTCAGACAAGCCTTGGAACCCCGGGACTGAAGATCCCATGGCTCTGGTTGTCCGTGCCCTGAATACCGGTCCCCACCTGGGTCTGAGGGGGGCCAGGGCCCTGGCCAGTGTCTGCATTGGGCCCTTAGGGGGATTATCTCCAGGAGGATAAGTGGTGATAGGAGATGAGGGAGGGCGTGGTTTGGGGGTTGCAGGGAGAACACTTAAGAACGGGCTTGGGACTTCCCTGGTGGTGCAGTGGTTAAGAAGCACCCTGCCAATGCAGGGGACATGGGTTCGAGCCCTGGTCCAGGAAGATCCCACATGCCGCGGAGCAACTAAGCCTGTGTGCCATAACTACTGAGCCTGCGCTCTAGAGCCCGCGAGCCACAACTACTGAAGCCCATGTGCCTAGAGCCCGGGCCCCGCAACAAGAGAAGCCACCCAATGAGAAGCCTGCACACCGCAACGAAGGGTAGCCTCTGCTCACTGCAACTAGAGAAAGCCTGTGAGCAGCAATAAAGACCCAACGCAGCCATAAAAATAACGGGCTTATAATAAGGAAGGTTTGCGGGGTGGGCTGTTGCTGTAGTGGTTTTGGGAGAGAGGGCCTGCCCCTCACCCGGGTCCACGTGCTGTCTCTGGGGAGATGGATGCAGGGTATGTACATACACTGGAAGTGTCGGAGGAAGCTCAGGACAAGAAGGCCTTCCCCTCCTCCCAGAAGGGGGTGAGTGTGCACTGTGGGCGGGCAGCAGGCTGCCCCCAGGTACCCAGTCTCAGGGGGCAGGTGGCCAGAGGACAGAGAGACTGGGAGCTGGGCTGTTTTTTCTGGATCCTGCTTCCTAGTGAGGAGTGGTGTGTCCCTTTTTCTTTTTGGAATAGGGAGGACCAGAAACAAGGTGGCTTGTTTTCTTGGTTTTCCACTGTTTTTACTGTAGTAAAACATACATAAGTTAAAATTTACCATTTTAACCATTTCTAAGCATACAGTTTGGTGGCATTAAGTGCATTCACATAGTTGTGTAACCATTGCCGCTATTTTCAGCACTTTCTCATCATCCCAGGCAGAAGCTCTGTCCCCCTTCAGCAGTAATTACCCTCCTCCTCCCCAGCCCCTGGCAACTTCTGTTCTGCTTTCTGTCTCTGTGGATTTGCTTCTTGTAGGTATTTCATATGAGTGGAAACATTCAGTATTTATCCCCTTGTGTCTGGCTTATATCACTGAGCATAATGTCCTCTAGGTCCATCCGTGATGTAGCAGGCTGTCAGCACTTCCTTCCTTGTGGGATATGAATCAGGGCTGAATTCATCTTAATAGCCAAGTGATGCCCCAGTGTGCAGATAGACCACACTTTGTCCGTTCGTCCGTTTCCATTCGTTCGTCCCTCGGCTGCTGTGACTCACATTGCTCAGAACGTGGGTGGACAAGTGCAGGTTCCAGTCCCTGCTCCTACTTCTCTTGGGTCCACTCCCAGAAGTGGAATTGCTGGGTCATATGGTGACTCTATATTTAACATTTTGAGGAACGACCAGCTTTTTTCCACAGCAGCTGCTCCGTCTTACGTTCCCATCAGCCGTGCACGAGTTTCCGATTTCTCCACATCCCCGCCGACACTCATTATGTTCCCTTTTTTTGGGGAAGTCATCCTAATTGGTGTGAAGTCGTACCTTGTGGCTTTGATCTACATTTCCTTAGTGACTAGTGATGTTGGGCACCTTTTTGTGTGCTTATTGGTTGTTGGTGTATCTTTTTTAGAGAAATGTCTATTCATGTCCTTTGCCCATTTTCTAACTGGGTTGTTGTCTTTGAGTTGTAGGAATTCTTATATATATTCAGCATTTTAAACCCTCATCAGATATGTGGTTTGCAAATATTTTCTCCCATCCCCTGGGTTGTCCTTTGCTCTCTAGATAGTGTCCTTAGATGCACAAAGTTTTTAATTTTAATGAAAGTCTATCTGTTTTTCTTTTGTTACCTGTGGTTTTGGTGTCATATCAAAGAATCCATTGCCAAATTCAAGGTCATGAAGATTTACTCCTACGTTTTCTTCTACGAGTTTTATGGTTTTATCTCTTAAAATTAGGTTTTGGATGCATTTTGAGTTAGTTTTGTATATGGTGTGAGGTAAGGGTCCAAGTTCATTCTTTCACAGGTGGAACCCTAGTTGTCTCAGAACCATTTCCTATGGAGTGGTCTTGGCACCTTGTAAAACAATCATTTGATCATAGACGTGAAGGTTTGTTTCCCGCCTCTCAGTGCTGTCCGTTTGTTCTATGTGTCTGTACCACAGTGTGTTAATTACTATAGCTTTGCAGCAAGTTTTGAAATTAGGAAGTGTGAGTTCTCCAACTTTGTTCTCTTCCAAGATTGTTTTGGCTATTGTAGGTCCCTTGAGATTCCATATGACTTTTAGGATGGATTTTTCTATTTCTGCAAAAATGCTATTGGACTTTTTTGGTGAGAGTGGCATTGTATGTGAGGGTCACGCTGAGCACTGTTTACATCCTGACAATGTCAAGTCTCCAGTCCATGGACATGGGATGTCTTTTCATTTATCTGTGTCTCCCTCAACTTCCCTCTCGCTATCATGATGCTCAATGTGTCACCTGTGGAGGCCTCATGAAGGTCCAGCCTCCTCAGCAAAACCGGATCTCCACGGCAGCCTCTCCCAGGACTGCCCCTGTCCTGAGGCGAGAGCCACCAGGAACAGGACACAGCATCCTGCACAGAGCTTTGCCCCTTCCCCTCACTGCGGTCGGGAACCATGTTTGGAAAGTGCACTTTGCAAGCCCCTTAAAACCTTCCATCATGCATGTTTAGGACACACAGAAACAGAGGGTTCGAGGGTGCCCCTCGGTCATCGGCTCTTACCTTCTGGCCAACGGCCCCTTTGTCCTCCTCTCAGGGTAACTGGGGCTCTTTATCTCCCACCCTGGGCCCAGAGCCAAGCAGGGTGTTGGGATCCTAGGGTCCCAAGGCCACCGCTGGGTATACCGAGTGACCTCACCGTGGCTCTTTGGAAGGGCAGAGCAGAAGACACTTGGGTACGAAGACCTGAAACAAGAGGGGCCCTCCATGTTTTGTTTCCCCACAGAGGGTTCTCCACGGCCCTGAAGCGCTTCCTCCAAGTGTGGCTTCCTTCAGTGGCTTTATTCTTTTTATTTTTTTAAAATAAATTTATTTATTTTTGGCCACGTTGTGTCTTCGTTGCTGGGCGTGGGCTTCTCATTGCGGTGGCTTCTCTTGTTGCGGAGCACGGGCTCTAGGCACGTGGGGTTCAGTAGCTGTGGCACATGGGCTCAGTAGTTGTGGCTTGCGGGCTCTAGAACACAGGCTCAGTAGTTGTGGCGCACGGGCTTAGTTGCTCCGCGGCATGTGGGATCTTCCCAGACCAGGGCACGAACCTGTGTCCCCTGCATTGGCCGGCAGATTCTTAGCCACTTCCAGAGAAGTCCCCGGAATATTCCTTCTTATTTTTGATATTTATGTGTAACATTTATTAGTTTTTTTCATCAACCCAGAGAATAAATCAAAATGATCCAACATCTCACCACCACTAGTGAAGATAGTCATGATACATAAAGCAACACAGGTGTGGTTAGGGGCTCCTAAGCCCGCAGAAAGGAGCACAGTGAGCCGTTCTGGTCACTTCAGGCCACTCGGCCCCTCCTTGTTGAGTCCTGTCACCTGTCCCTGGAAGAAAGCGCTGTGCCTTAACCCACGGCGCCTCCCCTGTGATTCCCCCACCTGCCTCCTGGGTGGTGGTGCGTCCTGCCCCATGGGGCATGTGCCTCCTTAGCCTGCAGGGCAGTGCCAGGACCAGGGAAACCAGGGAGGCTGTCCCTGGTGTCCGGACTGGGGGATACTCCAGGCTATGTCTCACTGCCTCTCTGCTCTCACTTGAGGGCCAGGCCGGCCTCCGGGAGGGGCCCACGTGCCAGGACTCTGGTCACCTTCAGGTTATGGTTCCTGCTTAAATTACCTAAAGGCAGGAGAACCCCACACAAATTCCATCTGCTTTGCTGCTGAGCTCAGAGGAGGGGCGTGGGGGGCAGAGCCGTCTGAGGAGGCAGGTCTGGTCAGTGGCCTGGGAGCAGAGCAGGGCGTGGGCCCCACCTGGGTCTTTGTGTGTGCAGACTCTGACCTGCTGACCACGTGCCCACTGTGCCTGGTGTAAATAGGCCATGTGGCCTGAGACCACTCAGACATCTGGGTGTCCATGCTCCCCTATTCATCCCTGCTCTGCCCACCAGGCCCCCTCCTCGTGGTCCAGGGCGTTGGGGTTTGGAGCCCTGAGCTGTCCTCGAGGGGTCTCCCCTCCAAGATCCTTGGCCTGCCCGCTTTCCCATGTGCCTTTCCCAATGGGAGCTTCTCGGGGAGCGGGGTCCTGTGTGGCCCCTTCCTGTGCATGACCCTTGCGCGACTGCAAGCCCCGATGGAAGCTTCCCACCTTCCTCTGTCTTTCATCCTTTTCCATTTTAAGGTCTCTGCTCTGTGCCAGCTCAGCCTTGCTGTGTCTCAGGGGCCCCGGGCCCCTCATCTGACTGGGACCCCAGCTACCTGCCCAAAGGGTCACTTGCCAGGGGGAGGCCTGTCTCGCTCCCACTGTGGTGTGGGTGGCAGGGTGGCCTTCCTCCTCAAAGGGGAAGAGGGGACAGACTGGCCCTGTGTGGTTGTCCCCTACGGAAGAGCCAATGGGCTGTGCCCTGTGTGCCTGACTTGGGGGCTCCCTGTGTCCTTCTCTGGAAACTCACAGGGCCACACGAGCTCCTGGACTGTCCCGAGTGTGAGTGCCCAAGGGGGCTGTGCATGAGGCTGGCTTTCCCTGTGCTGTGTAAACAAGCCTCAGGCCAGCTGTGTCCCTTGTCAGGGCTGTCTGGGAAGCCACGGGGCTGGGGGAAGCCAGACACACCCGCTCCCGACCCCAGGACGCAGCCCCAGCAGGAAGTGGTTTGCAGGTGGGCAGGGCTGTGGCTGTGCTCACCTGGAGCTGGCCACCAGGCATGTGGCTGGCCTCTTGAACCTTGTACCCCCATCAGCACAGGGGGGTGGCGGGGGGGTGGCAGTGGCAGCACCCCCAGACTGAGAGCGTGGGTCAGCCAGGAGGGCAGGTTACTAACACCGTGGTGACCACGTGCTCCCAGGAGTCCCGCCGGGTAGAACCCCGCCCATTGCCCCATCACAGATGCTGGAGGCCCCATCCCTGCTGCTGGCAGCTGGCGCCCTTGGCCTGGTGCTGCTGGCGCTGCTGTGGCTGCTGCAGGCCTTGCGACTCTGGGGCCTGTTCATCATTGGCTGGAACGAGCTTGTCCTGCACCCCGTCCGCAACCTCCTCATGGGCAACAGCAAGGAGCAGCGCATTCTGCGCCATGTGCTGCAGCACGCTGTGGCCGGGGACCCGCAGAGCGTGCTGGACGCCATCGACGCCTACTGCTCGCAGAAGGAGTGGGCTATGAACGTGGGCGACAAGAAAGGTGGGCAGTGCGACCGGCACAGGTGAGGGTCAGGGGCTGTGCAGAGCCCCGATGCCCACGTCACTGTCCCCACGGGAGGGTGGGACATTTGATAAACACCCCCTCCAGGAGGTGCTGTTCAGGGGGCCCCTTGCCATCACCAGGCCCATCACCAGTCAGAGGCAAGAGCAGAGTCTCCACGTGGGCCCTGCACTCGCAGGCCGTCAGGCAGAGCCAGGTGTCAGCACAGGGTGGGCAGTGGGTCCCTGGCTGTCCTGGCTGGGCCTGACGGTGTATGGAGACTCTTGGACTCTGCCAGGCACAGGCATCAGGCCCCCTGGGCTGCCTCCTGACCTTTGGACTCCAGCCTGGGGCACAGGCAAGTGCCACACTACACCCCCTGGAGTCAGGCCCTGGGGACAGACATGACAGCCACTGTCCAGCCCCCTTGAACCTTCTGACAGTGTCCAGCTCAAGGGAGCCAGGGAGGCTCTGGGTGCAGCCTGGGGGCAGAGTGGGGGCTGGACAGTGGTTGTCACGTCTGGGGGCTTCCACAGGGGGCAGCTCTGGGTTAGGACGAGTTGGGGGCAGGGAGGAATGGTGGAAAAGAGAGGGAGCAACGTGTACAAAAGCAGAGGCCTGAGAGGCCAGGCACTGGGAGGGGCTGCTGCTCAGTCAGGAAGGAGATGGGCCAGGACTGGGGTGGGTCACCCCCTGCCTGCTCACCCCACTCCCCTCCGTAGGCCAGATCGTGGACGCCGTGTTGAGGGAGCAGCGTCCCTCGGTGCTGCTGGAGCTGGGTGCCTACTGTGGCTACTCGGCCGTGCGAATGGCCCGCCTGCTGCTGCCCGGTGCCCGGCTGCTCACCATTGAGCTCAACCCTGACTACGCCGCCATCACCCAGCAGATGGTGGACTTCGCAGGCCTGCAGGACAGGGTGCGGCTCCATTCCTAGGGTGACAGATGTGGACACAGGCTCCAGGGGCCAGGAGGGCAGGAAGGGCCTGGGCCACAACCTGGCGGCTCAAGGCCACATTTACCCAGCTGGCCCACAGCCCCGGTCCACAGAGCAGGAGACCCCAAGGCCCCCAGAGGGAGGGGCAGAGCAGGAACCTGTCTCCCAGAAGCCACTTGGACTCTCAGGGGTCCGGGTGGGGGTCTGTTGTTCCAGGTGACCGTTGTCGTCGGGGCATCCGAGGACATCATCCCCCAACTGAAGAAGAAATATGACGTGGACACTGTGGACATGGTCTTCCTCGATCACTGGAAGGACCGGTACCTGCCAGACATGCTCCTCCTGGAGGTGAGTGTCTACTTTAAAAAAATTGCACAATGTGAGAGTAGCAAGTTAAGCTTCATTTGGGGCCACATGAGAGCTGCAGCCTGGGAGACAGGACCCCCGATAGCTCTGAGAAACTGTTCCAAAGAGGTAGGGGGGGAAGGTCAGTATGTATGTGATTTTGGTGAAGGGGGAGTACATGCAATCGAGTGCATATTTTTTTGCCAAATGTTTCTGCTAGTCACGAGGAGCAGTCATCACCATGAAGGATGACTAGTGTTTTTCTAGATACAAGGAGATACAAGAATTGGGCTCATAAAATCTTCTCCTGAAAATATCTATCTGAAGACCTGTTCTGCCAGTTTTTCCCAGAGCACAGAGGGCCTTACCTTAGCTCTCTACCTGAGCTCCTTCCAGGGGGTGTTGACCAGCAGCTGCAGCAGTAAATGACTTAATCCTTGTAGAGGCAGATGGTAAGTGCCGATGGAAAATGCCAATTCATAGTTGACAGGAGCCTTGCGCCCGCCTGGCCGGAGTGGGCCCTGCCGAGGGCGGCCCTGGGGGCCCGGGAGGCTTGGGCCAGCCTGCCTGCATTTAGGACATGGAGGGGAGTGCGGGCCCCTGGGTGGGGTGGAGACTGGAGGAAGGGGGATCCCTGCGCAGGGCAGCCTGTGCCAGGGTGGCTGGGAGGGGTGAACACCTGGGGCTGCAAGGGCTTGGGCTGGGGAGGCAAGAGGGAGGCAGCCTAGTGGCCACGTGGCTCTCCTGACTGGGTGGCAGGTGCTGGCCAGGGAAAGACGCGTCTCCTGCCCGCCTTCCTCCCCAGACTCCTTGTTGTACGCCCCCTGCGCCCCGCCCCCGTGCCCACCCCCAGGCTGTCCAGCCTCAGTGCCAGCTGCTCCTCCGGCACCACGTGGTAGCCAGGGGGCTGCCTCGCGCCCAGGTGAGTGGAGCTCAATATTGATGACCACCACCTTGTCCCTCCCGGGCGGTCAAGGGGACACAGCAGCTGGGGACGCTCTGCCCCACCACGGCCTCCAGCCTGGCAGCCACATGGGGCTGACCGTTGTCAGTCCCCTGCTCGCCCACCTCAGCTCCCCCACAGGCCGGGCATCACCCGGCACAGGGGGACTGTGGACGTGGGGGGCACGGCTGCTTGAGCCATAGCTGGGGCCGGGCAGGACCTTGCACCAGTGGTGTTGGCGTGGGTGTCGTGGGCCTGGTGCCTGGACGTGGCGAGAAGGAACCAGCCCTGGCTGGGTGTGTGTGAGAGGGTGCAGGATGGTCTGGGACTGGGCAGGGTGGGGACAGTGGGCCAGGGCTGTGTGTGGAGGGCTTGACCGCACAGGCAGGGCACGGAGGAGGGCTTCAGGCAGGTGAGGGCAGGCTAGACCTGTCTTCCGGAGGGATCCTGTTGGCTGTGTGGAGTGGGGAGGGGTGGCGGTGCAGGGGACCCAGACCAGGAGCTGCACGGGGACCTGTGCTGGCTGAGACGGGTGGCAGTGGGGGGCTGGCACAGAGGCCCTCGAGCCAGAGCGGGGGCGGCTGCAGGGAGCACATCTGGGCAACTGAGCAGCTGGGCCTGCGTCACCGGGAGGGGAGGTTTCAGCAGCTTTGGGGTGTGTGATAATTACGGGGCCTGCATTGATAGAAAAGCAGCAAATATTGCCCTTAGTAACTAAGAAACTAATAGTTTTCTCAGTGCCACTTGTTCAAAGCTGGTAATTATCTCAAAAGAAGAAAAGTTGTGAACTGGGAACGTGCACTCTGAAGCCCTGCAGCTGGGCTCTTCTTGGGCCTGGCTGCTCCCCCTGGGTTGGGGTGAGGGGCTGGCAGGGAAGGTGGCCGTTCAGACCAGGAGCTGCTTCGAGGCGGCCCTGGTCCCCCATTGCTCGGGCCTCTCCACACGCTGCTTGGGTGTCCTCCCAGCAGGGCAGCTGGCTTCCCCCAGAGCCAGAGACAGACAGAAGCCACACAGTGGCCAGAGTCTCAGCCCAGCCCACACCCTGGGCGGAAGGAGGGAGGGTCAGGGAACAGTGGACCCGGCTCTGGTCCTCTGAATGCTGTTCCCTCCCTGCCGCCAGCACACAGTCTTACTCGGACGTGGGCTTCTGGCCAGAACTCTCCAGGGCTCTGTCCCCGGGCGGGCGGCCCGGCTTTTGCATCCCTCCTCTGTAACTTGTGGGTTTAGTGCCTGACTTGTTGAGCCCACCTTGTCCACCTGCGTTCTTCAGAATGAGCTCCAGCTCGCCTTGGGCGTTTCCTGCCCAGACCTGAGATGCCCTCCTGGGGCTGGGCAGGGCGGGGGTGGGGGGGCGCCTGCTCCCAGGCTGCCCTTTCTCATCAAGATTGCTGGGAAGTTCCTTTTCTTTTTCTAAGAGAAACGCTCCATGATTCAATAGAGGTACTTTGTTCAAATTCTGGCTCATGGGTTGTCCCAGCCTCACTGATCTCACAGCTGTGTTTTCCACTCTGGCCTGAGGGACCTTGGCCTCCCCCTCAGCCCATGGGCCGGAAGGGAGGCAGTCACCACCAGGGAGACTCGAGGGCTGCACGGTGGACCTTGCATTCCTAAGTCACCAGGGGGTGCCCGTCTGTCCCTGTGGTCCGGCTGGCAACTGGCAACTGAAGAAACGCCTGGGGCCCTTGCTTGATTTTGCTTTCTGTGTTTGGGATTGCTTTTTTTTTTTTCTCACTTTTATTTAATGATCATGTAAAGAAAACTCTGAGCTACCAACAGAACTGGGCTGTCCCTTCACCCCCTCCCCCAGACAAACATTTCCTCTTGAGGTATTTCCTCTTGATGTTTGATGTAATCTAAGCGTCTCCTCCCCCAGCTTAGAGAGACTGCAGAGGGACCCAGGAGGTCCAGCCGCTCCTCCCTCTGCAGAGCCCAGGCCCGGAACACTGGCCAGCTGCCCAGGGCCCAGGCGCTGGTGGAAATGGGGTGCCTCAGAGTGGACCCACAGGCCAGGCTTGTGGGTGGGTAGGGAGGTGTGCCCCATCTCTGCACCCCAACAGTCACCCTGGTCAGGCCGGATTGAACCTCCAGTGACCGCTGACAGCAGCCCACACACTGGGCACCAGGCATCTGACCTGGAGGAGCCCCGTGTTCCTGGCACCCGGTGACCAAGGGACCCACTGGCCTTAGTCACCACTGTGGCTTTCCCAATCCTGGCCCCGTCACCTCCTCCACTCACACTTCCAGCTAGTGCTTAGTAAGCACCTGCTGTACTGAGGATGCAGGAGGAGCAAGGAGACCCCGGCCCAGCACAGCCCTTTCCTGCTGTGGCTGCTGCCAGTGAGGAGCTGGCGCAGGGCTGACCCAAGGTTAGGCCACCCTCACCTCCTCCAACCGTCCGTCTGTCCCTGCAGGAGTGTGGCCTGCTGCGGGAGGGGACAGTGTTGTTGGCCGACAACGTCATCTGTCCGGGGACACCAGAGTTCCTGGAGTACGTGCGTGGGAACAGCCGCTTCGAGTGCACGCACTTCAGCTCGTTCCTTGAGTACTCACAGGTGGTGGATGGCCTGGAGAAGGTCGTCTACAAGGGCCCGGGCAGCCCTGCACAGCCTTGACCGCCCACCCTGCCCCAGCTCCCTGGCCAAGCTGGATTCTGAAGGGTGTGGTGGCCCTACTCCTAGCTGCCCCGTGTCTGCAGTGTGTGCATCTGTCTTCAGTGCAACACCCTCAAGGCCTGCGAGGCCCAGGCCTGCCCGCGCTGGCCCCTGCGTGTGGGGTCCACCCCAAGCGCGACCAGCTCACCTTGCAAAATCACTACAGTAAATCTGGAAAAGTATCTGATTGTAAAGGCCAGCTCAGGCAGGTGGTGTCCATGACAGTGTCACACCCCCACCCCCACCCCCCAGCATTCATCAGTCTTCTGATTCAGGAAGTCAGAAGTCAGGGAACTGGGGCTGTGCACTCACACAGCCTGCCCTTGAGGTCTGCCGTCACCAGGTGGCAGCAATGCCTCAGTGATGGCACCATAACCAACAACTCACCCCACACTTCGGACTCCTGAGTTCTTTCACTTCCTTTTTAAGAATGAAATGCCACTTCTTTACTAAAATCATCTGTTAACAATCTTATATACCAATATCATGTTTAAAAGATAGTAAAATAGAAATTAAAGATCTAAATATTTAGGTAAGAGATGAACTGAGTGCTTCTTTTCAGCCACTGTGATGATGCTGCTTTCCCCTGGTGTCCTTCAGCTTTGCACCAAACACAAGCTGCTCCCCTTGGCCAGATGCTAACACTGCAGACTGGCCGCAGCAGTGCCGGAGGTCGGCCTTGCTCAGTACTGCTCCCGTGGCCAGGCCGAGGGCACCTGTTACAGCCCCATGGGGATGTCTGCAGGCTGGGGTGAGCCCCACCTGGGAAACCGGAACAAGGCAGTCAGCCAGCCTGCAGGTCCATCTCCGACCAAGCAGGTGCTGGGGAAGGTGGACACGGCCCTACAGCAGTGCCAGATGTGGTCTGTCCAGTGCCCAGCCTTTTGGGGCCCGTGTGTGGCTCTGAGGGGAAGCACCGTCCCCAGTCCCACTCGGCCTTGTTTGGGGAAGAGAGAGTAGACTCAGACCAGCTGCAGCACTTCTGCATGTGCCCAGCTGGCAAGGGATGAAGCAGAGTTGGTTTGCATCCACCTAAATCCACAGGTGCCCCCAGCTCTGAGCTGGTGCTCCAGCCCCAAGGCCCCCAAGTGGTTGGGCCTCTGGCCACCTCGGAGGCTCCCTTGGGCCCCAGCAGAGGGTGGGGTCCTAGACCCCAGGATCACCCCTCCTGGTTGAGGCCCACCTGTGCCCAAGACCAGCCACTGGCCAGGACTCCACCCCAGGCCTCAGGACCCAGCTAACCACCCAGGATCAAGCCCACTCCTCTTTGTGTGTAGAAAGAGGACGCATGTGGGAAAACAACCCTGGGGACTCGGAGCTGAAACCCTGCTGGACACAGCAGACACACACCGAGGGCCACCTCTGACACCCAGCAAACGATGGGAGCAGCTCACGGAGAGAGCTGAGCCTCGGAAGACAGGAGGTTCCTTTGTTGTTTTTTTAATTTTTAATTTTTCTTACAAAAATTTAGATGTTTACCCATAGTCTTATTTTGGTTTTGTTTTTAATCGTTTTCATTAGTGTTTTTCTTGTTTTTAAGTCACAAACAGCAGGCACTGAACAGCAGTCCCCCACTGCTGCTGCCAAAGGTCAGTCCCAGAGGCGCTACTCAGGGGCCAGAGCCGAGCAGGGAAGGCGCTCCAGGCATCCGGGGGTGGGCGGGGCCCTCCAAAGCCTCTCTGTAGGTCGCCTCCCACTCAGGGCCCAGGGAAGCCCCTCCACCCTTGGGTTCAGACTCCCTTCACTGAGCCCCCTCCCTGCCTGGCTGCGGGGCCCCAGGGGCCCACCCCCACCCAGCTCCTCAGGGGCCCCGCCAGCCCCAAAGCAAAGCCAGGTGCCCGGCCTTGGGCCCCACCGGGCTCCCACTGGCACACAGCACCATATCAGTAAACTAACTCGCCTGGGAGTTAGAAGGGGGAAGCGAGGGCGGGAGGGCAGGCGTGTCCAGAACCCACAGCTCCAGGGAAAGAGGAGCTGCCTACCCCCGCCGCCAGGGGCTCCCAGCTCCACGGCGGGGTCTGCGCAGGCCGCCTGGAGGTCCTTTCCCCGAGGTCCCTTCTTCCGAGATCCGACCCTAAGAGCAAACGGCTGGGCCCAGGCCCTGAGGAGGAAGAGGGGAAGGCTGAGCAGGCCTGGTAGCAGGGCGATGGACGCGTGGGTGAAGGCGGCTGCCTCGGGTGGTCCTCGGGGGGCCCTGTGCTGGGGGCATTGGAAGGTGTGGACCACCCCTGTTCTCACCCCGTGACCTCCAGGCCCTGATGGCACAGGGCCTGAGCCAGGCTGCAGGCCAGGGAGCCCCTCCCTCAGCCCCCAGCCTGGGCTTCCCTCCGCTGGGCCTTCAGGCCTGCTGAGCTCGAGGTGGCCCTGCGGGGAGCATGCAGAGAGTGGAGCAGACAGGCAGGCAGACCGGATGGAGAGAAGGCCCCGCCCAGAGGACGAACACCAGATGAGAACAAGAACGTACCAGGCATGCAAGCTAGACCCAGGAGTCAACAGGCTGAGGCTTAGCATCCCCCACGGCGTCCACCAGCCTGACCGCGGGTCTGCTGGGCCCGGGAGGAGGAACCTTCCTGCCGGGGTCGGGCTGCAGGGCGGTGGGCAGGAGGGCGTTAGAGGCAGAACAGAGCAGGTTAGTCCGAGCTGGCAAGTTGGGGCTGGGCTGGTCAGCAGGGCAGGGTGAGAGCCGGGGTGCACGCGAGGAGAGGCCTGAGGGCCGGGGGAGCCGAACCAGCGGGGCTCGGAGAGGCAGGGTTGGCACAGAGCAGATGGCAGGGGCTGCCCTGGAGGCAAGACCATGCAGAGGAGGGTGCAGATGCGCCCTCTGTCCCGGCCCCTCCCTCCCAGCGGGTGCGAGTTTTTAACCACCTGCACCCACAGGCTGGCTCTGACGTGAGGTTCCCGAGGCAGAAGGGCCACATCCCGAACGGGTCTCCTAGCCCAACTGCCCTGCAGGTGAGCCCCACCCCAGGCCCCAGACCAAACCTTGCCTGGGCCCCTCTCCAGGTGACCCCCGGACACACCACCTCCCTGGACACCTGCCCACAGCCACTCACTTTCAACGATTCCTTCTCAGAGGCCTCCCCTGCAGGGTCACTGCCTCGAGCCCTGCACTCCCTCCGGTCAACGGCGGAGTATCCATCTGTGGGATGGAGGCAGGAGAGGACTCTGAGGCAGGCACCAGGCATGGATCTCCCTCTCAGCCCAGGATGCATCTGGAGAGGGCCCCCACCTAGCCCGCTCTGAGCCAGGCCTTCTCACGGCCCCTCCCGTGCGGTGGGCCTTGCAGCCTCTCCCCTGTTCCCCACCAGCAACTCAGAACCCTCCAGCTGCCCCCTCAGCTGCCAGACAGGACACCCTGGCTGGGCAGTGACCCCTCCCTGGCTGCCCCACCCCTCACCCCTGAGCACCCCTAAACCAAATCTTTTTTCCAACGACACCTCCCCGGAAGGTCCTCCCCACACAGAGTATAAGCAGCCTGTACCTGCACCTGCCCTCACCTGGGCCAAGTGCCTCCATGGGGATCACGTCCCGGCTGCCTGCCTTCTCGCCGTCTGCAAGGTACGAGCGGGTGGCTGGCTGGTTGCAGCGGTGGCAGGGGACCAGGGCTGGCCTCAGCCTGGTGCCAAGGTGAACACCACGGGTGGAGAGGATTGGGGAGGGGAAGGGAGGGGGCCATCTTCCTGGAAGAAGGTCGGCCTCCCTCTACCCCTCAGCAGGGTGGAAGGACATTCCTGAACCTCAGGATGGACCCCTGCCTCATACTCACCCAGGCTCTTATCCACCAGTGGCAGTGTGCTATCGTCCAAGCCTCCGGGACTCGGTGGTGCCTTGGGGCCCTTGGCATTAGCAGAACCCGACTAGGGGGAGGAGGGCACATAACAGACGGGGTGGGTCGGGGTGCTCCCACGGGGTACCCAGCCTGGGTGAAGTGAGAGAGAAGGGCTGGGTGGGCCGAACCTGGAAGCGCGCCTTGGTCCAGCCGTCCCTCTGCAGAGCACCACGTAGCTCCTTGTAACTCCACACCGTCTGCAGCACATGGGATGCGGCCTTCGCCTCGCGCACCGATTGGCTGCGGTCCGGGCTGGGGTCAGTGTCTGGCCAAGACGGCCCTGCTCTGCCCCCACCTAGGCCCCGCCCACCTGGGGGCACCTCCTGCCCACCTAAGCCCCACCCACCCACCTGGAGGCGCCAAGTGCCACCAGCGCAGGCACGCCGCGGGCCTGCAGCAGCGAGCGCGCGTTGTCCAGGCTGTCAGACACGATCTCGTGGATGGTGTTGAGCACGGCCACCACTGTGTCCTCCTCCAGACAGGCCCCGGGCCGTGTGGGTGCCTGCGCGCTGCGCACATTTCGCACGAGCTCGGCCATGGCGTAGCTCCCTGCAGGCAGGGGCTGTAAGGACACTCCGGTGCCGGCAGGAGGGGGGCCGCGAGGAGCGGGTGGCCCGGGCCCCAGACCCCCGTCCCCGCCCTCACCGATGAGGTCCTTGTTGCGCCGGTCCAGCGAGAGGTTGCGCAGGGCGATGGCGACGGCGCGCACCACCTTGTCGGTCTCCGACTGCAGCAGCTCCACCAGCACCGGCAGCCCACGCTCCTTGCGCACAGTGGCGCGGATGTACGTGGCCCACTGCGGCGGGGGTGCAAGGTGTGCTCAGTGCTGGCCGCGCCGCACACACCAAGACACTCGCCTACCTGAGCCCTGACCGCTCCTCCGGCTGGACTGTTCTTCTCCCCCGCCTGACAAAGCCCTCCCCCAGCAGCTCCCCCACCATCTCCACCGGGAATGCTCCTGGGATTCCCTCGGCCTCCTCCCTGCCAGGCTTGGCCTCTCACCACCCAGTTGCCAGCACTGAGGTTCTGCAGGGCACCGGCTGCGGCCTCCAGAGTGTTGAAGTTCCGACTCTCCGTCAGGAGGGACAGGTAGAGACGCACTACCTCGGGCTGGTACAGCAGCTCGAAGCCTGTGCACGGAGCACCCGCAGCCCACAGTCACCCAGGCCGCCCCATCACCCCCTACCCCCTCCTCAGCCCTCCCAGGGAAGGGCGAGCTGTGGCCCAGTATGGCTGTGGCATCATCAGGAATGTTTAGCAGCAACATGTTCACCCCTTAGCCACCGAAGAGTAAAAAGCCTTCCCACTTCACAAGGCAATCAACCCAAGCTCTGAGGTAGCAGTGGGTTTAGGCGAGGTCATTCTTCCTTGACCCCACTGCCAAAGAAATGGGACCTGCCTGATGCTGGAGCTCCGGGAGGCCTGGGGTGGGGAGGGAGGCAGTAACCACAGCTGCTCCCCTAGCAACAGGACTCAGACTCCCTAGCAACAGCCCCCCCACCCGTATATAAGGCCCACCCTCCCTGTCAGAGCCACTCAACCACTCCTCGTCCCTCGTCAATTGAGGCTCCAGCCTGGCAGCAGAGCCACCCCACAGTGCTCCAGAGAGGAGGGCGGAGCAGCCTTCCAAGTCTGCCCCCACATTTAGGCTTCTGTGTCCCTGGACATTTCCTCCCCTCCCCCGCACGCCCCACATGTCATCACCCCTTCTCCAGTTCTCATGTCCCATACTCCCTCCACTCCAGCCTCCTGTCCCCCAAATGCTCCAAGCACTTGCCCCTGCAGGGCATTTGCATGGGCTGGTCCCTCTGCCTGTGATGCTTCCCCCCAGACCTCCCACGGTTGCGCTGCTGTACCCTGCTCTTGGGCATCTGGGCTTGCAGGGCAGACCTCTCTCGCCCAGGCTGGATTCCCAGTGCACAGAGAAGTGCCACACAGAGTGGGGCTCCGATGGACACAGGGAGCGAGAAGCTTGAACCACTCCCCCACATGATCTGAGTGATCTTGCCCAGCCTCCCAACTGGATCTGACTGCACCTCGGGGCTCCAAAATCCCTAGGAGTGAACCCGGGCTCCTCGGCTGGCACAGGAGGCCCTGCCCAGCTAGCCCTCACTCCAATCCCTGCCAGCCTCTCATGTGCTATGTGACCTGGCAAGTGCCTGGCTCCTCCCTGCCTCTGCGCCCACACCCTGCCTGAAATGACCTGTGGCACAGACCCTGATTCTGAGCCCTGAGCAGGTGCCCAGGGACTGCACAGTCCTCCGAGGAACCCCACACCTGTAGGCCTCAGTTTCCCCACGAGATCCCCAAGGCCCTTCAGCCGTTTGGTGGTACAAAGCTTAACTCCTGGACAGGCCTGGGCCTGGATTCCACCTCCCACTGCTCACCTTTGGCAGCCTCAGTCCGCTTGGGTAGGTCCAGAGTGTCAAAGTTCCGGTCCATCTCACCATCCCTCTTTCCTGGAACAGAAGAGCAGTGGGAGGTGAGGTGGACCCTGCAGGGTGCAGGTATGTGTCAGGAGGGGCGGGGACAGCACCCCCACATCCAAGACTGGGCACCAAGAGGCCTGAGAACAGAGCACTGCTCTGAGTCCAGGCAGGCAGCTCTGCCCAAAGGGCGGTGGTAGCAGTTAGGCCTAGGGAGGTCCGAGCCCTGCCTGAGCTGCCAGGGCTCATCCTCCATCGGGTGCTGGGAGCTGCACTGCAGATCCTCCCGATGGGCTCCTTGGGCCCACCATGTGTGTGAACTGAGGGGCCCAGGAGCCCAGACTGGGGCAGGGAGGTGCAGACAGGGAAGCCAAGGGCTGGCAGGGACAGGACTTGCCTGGCTGCACAGTGAGGCAGGGCTGGAGCCAAGAATCCCACTCATGGGGAAACTTGCCCCTGTCTGGGGCCAGGACCCAGGCCTGGGCTCTGCTGGCCAGGAGACCCCCCACTCGCAGGCCCCTGCAGCAGCCCCACCTAACACCCGTCAGCCTCGGCCTGCACACCTCTGTGAGAGCCAGCTCACCACCTCCCGGCTGCCCTCCCGCTCAGATGAGGAACCTTCCCCTTCCTGGAAGGCAGAGCTGAGTTCAGACAATCAGGGGCCTGCCCTACCCAGCCTCCTGGGGCATTTGCATGGTCCCTCCATCTGAGCCACACCTGGCCCATCCCATCAGAGGGGCAGACCCTGCTCCCCAGTGCCCCTGGGAATGGACATGCCCAGGCCCTATCCACCCTCGGCTCTGAGGTTACAGAGGGACAGCCCCTCGGCCTCCCAAACAGCCCCAGGCTGACATTCCTGCAGTTGTCATGTCCACACAGTTGCCATGGAGATGGCTGCCTGGAGAAGGAACTGGGATCAGGACTTCCCAAGGATGAAAGGTCCTGCAGTTGTCATAGAGATGGCTGCCTGAGCAATGGGGGCGGGGAGGGGTCCCTGGTGCCCACTGCACCCGCCAGGCCTGCATGGCAGGACAAACAGGGACTTACCTTCATGGAACCACTCTTCTGGGCGGCCGGAGGAAGCACAGGAGAGAGGAGAGGAGCCTGAGCGGGCAGCACCCCCATTCCCTCCCAGGAAGTGTAGGACAGAGGGACGGGGACTCTCACCCCGATTACTTTTGGGGGCTGAGTGCCCACAAGTGGGACGGGGATCAGAAAAGGCCAACGCAGTGGGGCAGGTGAAGGCAGTGTACAGACCCCTGGCAGCTACACCCGAGGTAGGGACGGGGTGAGGCAGGTGGGGTGCTGCCCCCTGGGCTCCCCAGGGTCCTCGGGTGTCCTGCCAATGCCAGGAGGCGGCGCTGTCCTCGGCACTTCCAAACTTGGGCCCCCAGGCCCTTCCTGGAGCTGAGGGCCTGGGTCCAGGCACCAGGGGGGACCACTGCACAGGTGGTCCTGGGCACCCTCCTTGGCTCCCTGAATGTGTCCCCGGTGGGTGTGGAGGGCCTTCGGCTTGGCAGGGTCGGGGGTCCTAGAGCAGTACCCCAGTCCCACCCACACACCTTTGGCCTTCTTGCCACCAAAGCAGCCGGCGTCCTCCCTCCTCCGGCGCTGGGCACCCATGGCACTGCCCGGGGGCCTGGGCTCGGCCTCCTGGTACCTGTCAGCCCCCGGCACCTCCTTGTGCACGTGGTAGGAGAGGTTCCGCACGATGCACACGCAGTTCTCCACTGACTGCAGGGAGAGGGGGCTAGGGTACCGCTGGGGGGCACGGGACACTGACCGCTCCCCCAGGGAAGATGCCACAGCTCGTGAGTGCAGAAGGGACCGGGTGTAGGATGGGGAGGCCTGGGTTAGGGGCCCACTCGGGCGAAACCCAGGGAGGGGCTGAGGAAGGAGGGGGGAGCACCTACCACACGCGGGACCTGGTCCAGGGCTTCAGGGCACACCTGCTGCCCCGCACCACACACCCGTCCCCTGTGCCGCCTGGATAGTCCAGGGCTCCTGCTCCGTTCCCCGACCCTTCATGGGAGGCTGCGATACTGACCCTGCCTGGGGCCTGCCAGGGCCTCCCCGCCTACCTTGTTGTCCGTGTCCTTCCTGCCCACGGCCGACTGCAGGGCGTGCAGGAGTGCGTCCACCAGCCCCTCACACTCACGGAGTCGCCGCCGGGCCTCTGCACCATCTGAGCTCACATTCCTGTGTGGCCAAGAGCAAGCCCTGTGACCCCAGCTCCAGCTCCGGGGTCTCATCTTATCTGCAGAACGTGCTCTGTGCCATGCCGTCAGGGCTGCTAGCAGATGACAAGAGGCTAGCAGTGAAGGTGAAGCAGCAATGGCCTGACTGCTAAGACCCCAGGAGGGGGCCCTGGCCTGGCATCTGTGTGGGGTGGGGGGCTCCCCTGACTCCCAGCTGAACTGCAAAGGGACAGAAGTGGATCCAGACGCCTGAATCTGTGCTGTTCAGGGCTCCACCCTGTGCTAAGGACCCCAGAGGGCCATGGGGGGATATCCTGATGGACAGACAGGACCGAGGGGACGCAGGACTGCCTGTGGGGTCTCTGCAGGGCCTCCAAGGGTGGTGGGAGGTGGGCAGGGGTCACAAGGAGGTGGGATGAGGCCTCTGAGGCAGACTGGAGAGGAGGATCCTAGCTCCCCTTCCCTGGGTGTCACAGGGATGGGTCGAAGCTGGGCAGGGATGGAGCAGGGGTACATGGGAGGGTGGCAGACATCTAGAGGCTGCCTGTGGGGGTGAGTACAGCCCCATCAGGCACATTCTCGGGACTCGGGCAGAAACTGTGACCTGGCTCTGACGCCGAGGCCTGGGTGGCTAGCTGTCTTCCATGTTATCTGGGACACAGGGACGTGGCTATTCCTAGGACAGCTGTGCATGCAGGTGTGGATGTGCATGCAGGTGTGCATGCAGGCTCTGGTGCAAGGCTCCTGCCTCCTTGGGTGGGAACAGCCCTGGGAGGCTTCGAGGGGCACCTGAGCAAGGCCCCACGCACACCTCAAGCAGCCTGATGTGTTCTTGAAGACAGTCGTCCACTCAGCATCCCGTGGCTTGGAGTCTTCGTTGGGCTCTGGCTCCCAGCCCGAGTGTGGCACAATGACCTCATGGGTCAGCGTCTGCAGGCCGTGGTCAATGATGACCATCTTCAGGGGTTCGTAGGACGACAGGTTCCAGAGTGTGCCTGCAGGGTGCCATCGACCCGCCAGTGCTGACCACAGGCACTGTCCCCACAGGACCAGCTCAGGATCCACCCCGCCCTCTTCAGGCCCCAGCTCACGCCGGAAGACAGGAGTGACAAAAGCCACAAGAGGCCCTGGGTGCTGCTCTGGTGTGGGTGAGATGCACATGCCACACCGAGAGGGGGCTCCCCAGGGGGGGGAAGGAGCCCCCTAGAGGCCAGGACACAGGAGGGGCTGGCAGGGAGCCTGGAGCTGGCATGTGCCTTTTCCCCACCCCTTCCCAGCCACCCAGGCAGGTGGGACTATGCTCCTGGGGCCACGCCAAGAGGGGATCATCACATGACCCTGACCAGCCATGGTCCCCACGACTGCCCTGCTGGGGGGGCCAGAGAGCCAGAGAGGCAGGACCCAGAGTAGTCATGGTGGGGACATGGGAGCTGGCGGGGAGGGGGCCAGCGCCAGCCCCACCTGTGGCGGCCAAGTCCAGCGGTAGAGACCTGACACAGTACCTAAACCTGACTCCCGACTGAACCGCGACGCAGGCGGCCTGGCGCCTCACCTGTGACGAGCTCGCGGACCTCGCTGTCCCGGGCAGCCCGCAGCAGGCGCACCAGGGCAGGCACACCGCCGCAGTCCCGGATGGCGGCCTTGTTGTCAGCATCCCTGCCATACGAGAGGTTCCGCAGTGCCCCACAGGCCCGGCGCCGCACCTCCGCCCGCGGGTGGTCCAGCAGGGCCACAAGCAGCGGCAGCCCCCGCAGCTGCCGCACGCGGCGCTTGACACCCTCGTTCTCAAAGCACAGGTGCTGCAGGTAGGCGGCCGCGTTGGCCTTCACGGGGTCCACGGGGTGCCGCAGCATGGCCAGCACCTCGGGCAGCTCGGGGTCCCGCCAGCGCGGCTCCTTGCGGGCACTGTCCACCGAGGGTGAGCGCCGCACTGCCCGGTCCAGGCTGCCCAGGCTGCCATGTTCCGGCTGGGCCAGGGGCGCCGTCGTGGCTGGGAAGGGGGGCCGCTCCTCCATCAGCTCACCGCCATCGTCCGCCACGTCCTCGTAGGCCCTGTGCAGGTGAGCACGGTGCATGACCGTCCTCTCGCGGCTGCTGCCTGGCCTTGCCCCCAAGCGGCCCCATCACACATTCTCCAGGGGACCATGAACCCATGGGACAGGGCTGAGCCTAGAGCATCGTCGGTGCTGCGGGTCATACCCGACCCAGCAAGAACTAACTCACAGCCAGTGATAGAGCCAAACCCCAGCCAATGTCATCAGAACTTGTATCCCTCCCAGATGGGAGCTCACTCACTCCCATTACCAGGCAGTTTCCCTGACTCCCAGCTAAATGTGTTTCTACGAAACATCTGTCTGTGACTGGGGTCCCACCTCCCCATGAGGCCATGTCTGGCTAGTGCACCCCTTGCACATAGCCAGCCTGGTAGGACCATCTGAGGGCCTCAGGCCACCAGTTCTCCAGGGCACAAGATGTCAAACCCACTTCCTAGGTGAGGGATTGGGGCTGGGGGTGGGCGAGTGTCTCGCCTGTGGCCACAAAGCATAATCCAGACCCAGGCAGTGGTCATGTTCCCACCTGACAGACAGAGAAGCTGAGGGCAGGGGAGACAGAACCAAAGGCTGCAGAGAGAAGGGAAGGACCGAGGGCCTGGGTTCTGGGTGCTCCTGTGATGGGGGAGGGGCTGGGGCCCAAGCTCAGAAAAATGCCCTGGGTCCCTTGGGCTTGTGTCTTCCGGGCCATCTGGCTGGAGCAGGGGCAGCAGGCATGGGCGCGTCACCAGCTTCTCTTGCTCCAGACCCACAGGGAGGGTGCCCAGTGCAATCCCACAGCCCAGAGCCCGCCCTTGCCGCTGTCCCTGAGAAGAGCCAAGGCCAATTCAAACTAACGTGTGCGTTATTAACACAGCACCGCAGCGAGACTACCCGTGTGGTACTCTGCAAGGAGTGGAAGGCAGGCTTCCCGGAGGCAGTGACAGCGCATGGGGGCTCACCTGGTGCGCAGGCCCCGCCCACAGTCTGGCCTCCTCCGTGCGGCTGTGCCACAGTCAGGCTCCAGCTCCGGGCCCCCCTCGTCCTCAGCAGCCAGGCTGCGAGTGTCGTCCTCCAAGCCATATGGCTCTGCCTGGAACCGCTCGGGCTGGGAGCGGCCAGCTGGTGGACCAGGCTCAGGGCCCGCGGGGAAGGCCTCCCGGCGGCTGGGCAGCGTGAAGCAGCCATCACCAGGGCCTGGGCCCAGGGGGCCTCCGCGCGGAGGCCGCACACCCAGCCCGCGGGACAGGCTGCCATAGCTGGGGACGTCGCGGGGCTCGTCAGGAAAGCCGCCTCCGCTGCCAAGGCAGGTGCGGGAGAGTGTGGCCGCCGGGCCACCCCCGCGCAGCAGGAAGTGTCGGTCCAGGGGGCCATCGGTGAAGGGGCCCAGTGGGTGGCCACCGTCCAGCAGGGGGAGGCCATCGGGGCCCACGGGCACCTGGCGCACTGTTCGAGTGGTCACCGTCTTGACTGTCTTGGTGACCTGGTGGGTGAGGGGGCAGCCTGTGGGCTGGCAGCCTGAAAGGCCAGGGTGGCCTCAGCCCTCCACCTGAATAATGGGTGGCCCGCAGGAGGCCAGGGCGAGGTGTACCTTGGTCTCAGTGCGACGAGTGGTGCCATCTTCCGATGTGACGATGGACACATGGGAGGTGGGGGTGCCAGGGTCCTCCTCCACCGTCACTGTCTCCTCCAGCACCTCAGGTGCCTCCGGCATCATGGCCAAAGAGGCCTGGCTGCCCGGGCTCTGCTCCTGGGCAAGGGGGCAGGTGTTGGTGGGAGGACCCCGTGCTCAGCAGCCCTGGGGCAAGGACGCTCATGCTGGCCTGGATGCCAGGAGGGCCTTCTTCCCCTGCCCCAGGGCCTGTCTCAGCCCCGGCTGGTGAGGACAGCAGCACATTCTTGCCTCTGAAAGCCAAGGGGCTGGTCCCCACCCCAGGTCCTCCTCGGGCTGATCTAGTGGATAAGGCCTTGGGCCCAGCGGCGCAGACTTGGGCAGCCCTGTCTAAGCTGTAAGCCCAGCTGCCACAGCTCCTGGAGGCCCAAGCACCCACAGGACGCTCTCCTGACGTCACTCATCACCCCTGCCTGTGCCCTCCCTAAAGGATGGCTCTTTCCTGTGCCTCCTCCCTGCCCACCCCAGAAACCTTGAGTGCAGGGGGTGGCAATTTCAGCATTGTTCACCGACTCCCTGTGGCCACACCCAGGCTCCAGCCATCCCCAAGGCCAGCTAGACGCCCTCGCAGGACAGAAATACCCAACTCCCAGAATGCCCTGCGCACTCAGAACACCAAAATACCCTTGCCCCTTCCGGCCCAGATACTCTTGGGGTGCTGAGTGGGCAGGGCCTGGCCCTACCTCACTCGGGCCAGTGGCTGGTACCCCTCACTGAGGCCCTGGGTGTCATATCAGAGAGCCCAGAGAGGGTAGATTCAGGCCAATGTGGGCCCAGCTGATCCTTGATGGGAACCCTGGTGTCCCCTCCCCACACACCCCCGGGTCTCCCCGGCCTTGGCCCTCAGCTCTCAGCCCCCCTTGCCAACATCCCCACAGGCAAGATGGTGCTGGAGAGAGGCTCTTCTAAAGCCCACAGGCCTACTGGCCAGATTCACCAGTGGGGAAACTGAGGCTCAGAGAGGACAGGCCAGCCCACAGCACAGCTGGGCTGGACCCCTGCTATGCTGAGTGGCATGGGGACCCCAGGCCTCTGACCACCTGGGTCCCCCCCACCATGCCAACATCCCAGGATCAGTGTCTGGCCAGGACGGGTAGGAGCTGAAACCCAAGCTGCAGTGGGCGGGCGCGGGGGAGCACATTCCCGGGCAGCCAGGGCCGGGTCAGCAGGAGGACAGGTCCTGCTCCAGGGCCCAGGCCCGTGCCTTGTGGGATGGGTCCCCGCCTGGGCCCCAGGCCCCTGAGGCCTGCACAGACAGGGAGCTGAGGCCCAGGAAAGGCCAGCAGCTCAACCTGCATCTGCCTGGCACCAGAGAGCCCTGCTCTGCTCCCGTCCCTGGGACCGGAACATGCAAGGCAAGGCTCCCAGGGCCACCTTTCCGTCCCCGGGCCCAGGAGCATGCAAGGCAAGGTGCCCAGGGTTGCCCTCGGGGCCTACCTCCCGAGGGCCTTGGGTGTGAAGTCTCCCCAGGTTGGGGTCCTGTCCTAAAGGAATGCATGTCCCCCCAAATACACACAGTGCTAAGGTTCTGGGCCCCTGCAGCCTCTTCAGGGGTCGCAGGAGAAGCCTGCACCAACCTGCTGGGAGCATCCCTCAGGCTCTGGTGACAGAGGAAGAGGTCACAGAATGTGTCCCCTCCCCCAGAAGCAGGGCTTCGGAGGACAATATGTGATTTTATGAAAAAGAGAAACTGAGGCCTGACAGAGGAGAAAGGACTACCCAGAACTGCACAAACTGCTAACGGGGGATTTCAGGCATCCACAGGGAAGGGCTTTCAGTCACATGTCACCCCTCTGGGGCGACAGCCTTGGCTGCCGCCTTCTCAGTCCTAGAATGCAAGTAGTATGCCTGTCAGGGACCTGGCCAGGAAGGAAGGATGCTGTTCCTTGGGAAAGAGAAGTAAACTGAGGCCTGGGGTGGGGACACACTGGTATGCGGCTGGGCAGGGTGGCCTGGCTCTTCTCTGAGGGTACTGGGGAGCTGGGGCGGTTCTGGAGCAGAGGTTCAGGGACAGCATGTCCCTGCTGGGGCCTCGGCCGCCCCATCTGCACTTGGCAACTGTGGGAGCAAAAGTGTGGCTGGCAGTCAGCTCTCTGCTCAGCCGGGGAAGCGGGGGAGCAGCAAGGCCCCATGGCTACAAAGCACAGGGAACAGGGAATGCAGGGAGCAGGACTGACAGGAGGGGACCAGGTTGTCCAGGACACTGCCAGGAGTACGAACCCCTTAGTAGGTATGCATACATTTGCATATATTTAATCCTCTCCGAGAAGAGCCACTACCCCCTGGCCAGGCTTGGGCTGCTAGAGGGTGGCACAGGGGGTGCACATCTTGGACCTCAGTGCCAGGGGGGCCTGGCTGCTGCTTCTCACTCCAGCCTGCAAACACAATAGAGAATTGGGGGGAAGAGGAGATGGGGGTCCAGGAGAGCCAGGGGCCCAACAAGGCCTGGCAACCCTGCAGCATCAGCCACCAACACCCAGCCCGGGCAGCCCGGCAGCGGGATCCCAAGGCCCCAAGAGCCCTGACTGGCAAATGACCTCAGGGAGCTAAAAATGGTGATGACTTCACCCCGGTGGGCAGGGAGGCGGGAGCGTGAGTCAGCCGGTGATCACAGGGAGGCCCGGCCCCCGTTACACACGCCTGGGCACACACATGCAGAAAGGGACCTGGACACACATGTGCACGAACACCCATCCCAGCTCCCCGGCCCAGGCACGTCAGTTCGCAGGCTCTCCCAACAGCACCCAGCACCGACATCCCCTCCTGCCTTCTACCTGCGTGTCCAGATTTTCTCAACCACCTATGCAGCATCTACCATGGGAGTCTCAGAGCTGGCAGGTGGGGGATCCAGGGCCTAGGGTAGAAGGAGCCCAAGGTCGACCCCTGGCTTGGGCCTCTGAAATGTCTTTGGGGTGAGAACATGGGGTCACAGACTGACTGACCAGGACACAGTCAGCTCTCAACAGAGGCTGCTGACCAGGCTGCCTGGATCCTCGTCTGGCCTCAAGGCCCTGCTCTAGGGCCCCATGTCCCATGGCCACCTACCCAGGCTGGCCCACCTCAGGAACCCCCAGCCCTGCAGCCCCAGATTTCCCTCATACCCTAGACATGAACAACACCTGCAGCCTCCCCACACCCCAAATTCCGCCAAGTCCTGTCAACTGCCTCACCCTCCCTCTGCCCTGGCATCATCCTTGCCTCTCTCGCTGGGATGACTGTCCAGCCTCCCATCAGCTCTCCCCACGGCCCAAATCTGTCCCATGGTCCTCCCATCCATGGTCCACTTGGTCCAGGGGCCCTGGGCCTGGACCAGCAAGGGGCTGCTGTACACTTCTGGAGTTTCCCATGAGCTCCTGTGAACTTGTGGGAGGGGCCGAGCCCAGGACTCCAAGCAGGGGCGGGAGTGACCAGTATCCCAGAAAGGTGGACCCAACCACTGCTCTCAAGAGGGTCTCCAGAGGCCCAGAGCTGGAGGGCTCTGGCCCTGTCACACACCTGGGCTCAGCTTTCTTGTATGAAAACAAGAAGGACCCGGGGTGTCCAGGCCACAGGACAGGTGGGGTAGTGCCAGTCCTGACTTTGTGACCAGATCTAAGGTGTGTGAGGCTCAGAAAAATGAGACATGGGACAAGACACAGAGGGGCCACCCCTGGGCAAAAGCCCACAGCAGCCTCTGGGGGCGCATGTGGGAATGGCGGAAGGAGGGGACAGAGGAAACAAGCCAAGTCACCACTGGTGGTGAGCTGGACTGGGGTCCCAGAGGCACGGATCCACCTGCAATGTCTGCCCTTGAGAGATGAGCACCCATGGTCTGGATCATGAAGAACAGGATGTGGGGTGGTTGTCCCACCCTGTCCACAGCCCCACCAGCACACGCAAGGGATAGAATAAGGTGGGATCCCACCCCTGGCTCCCACAACCCCCTGTCGAGGCTCTCAGAGAGCACGAGACGGCTGCTGCTGGATGATGAACCGAGGGTTGGAGGAATACCAGCCCCCCATCCAGAGCGGCCATCCTGGATGAAGTCCAGGCCAAGACAGGCAAGCATCTCCCACCAGGGAGCAAGTCCTTGGCCATTACAGACGTCCTCTCCCTTGGTGTCCACAGTGGCAAACCCAGCCCTGGCTGACCGGGAGCTCCCCGCTCCACAGCAGCAGTCCACCTGCAAGGGCGCAGGCCCAGGATGAATGGCCAAGAGGCCAAGGGGTAGTAGGTGCCCAGCAGACTGGGGGAGCAAGCTTGTGGGCGACGGCAAGGTGGGCCATCACCCACCCTAGCTTTCCCAAGCCCAGCCCACACCCATCAGGCACACAGTGGCCCCACATTCCCCCAGCTCCCCTGAACTGGCCTCTCCATCTCTGGGGCAGGCAGGCACCTAGCTGTCCAGGTGAGCAGGTGTGTAGGAGACCTATCTCTTGCTCCTCCACTCTGCCTCAGTTTCCCCACCTGTTAGGGGACCCCGCTCTTCTGAGCAAGAGTGCAGGCTGCCCGCAAGCCTTCCCCCATGCTGGTGCTGGGAGGAAGCCCCCCTCCGCCTCCGCACGTGGGCAGGGCAGTCCCCCAGCCGTCTCTCCACGTGCGCTGCCGCGGCAGACCCGGCTTGCATTAAAGCTCCGAAGCTCCTGCGCGGCCCCCAGAGCCGGGGCCCTGTGAATTTGGGGGAGGCCTAGTCGCGCCAACCTCTCCAGATTCGGCCTCCCACCCGCGCAGAGGGTCTGCTCGGGAAGGCCCTGCCCACCACCCCGTCCCAGGCACCTGTCCCGGGCGCTGGCCCGGGTGCGCCCGCTCCCACCCCTCCACCCGCTCCCCGCACCCCCGGTGGCGCGCTCACTTCGCCGCCCCGCCCGGCCGCGGCCCGGGGGCGCAGACAATAGCCACCTCCGGCCGGCGGCTCCACGAACAAAAGCGGGTCCTCCCGGAGGGCCGGCGCCCCGCCCTCCGCCACCAGCCCCCGGGACAGTGCCCCCGCCCGGGACCAAGTTCCCTCCAACCTGTCTGAGTTCGGCCGGCATCGGGCCGGGCGCGGGGGACGCGAGCCGGCGGTGGCGGCGGCTGGACTGGGTTCAGCTGCGATGCCTCGGCCGCTCAGCTCGGGTTAGGCGGACTCGCTCCCCGCGGGGCCGACCTGGCTAGGCGCGACCAGCGGCCAACCGGGAGGGGCGGGACGGTGAGGCGAGCAGCCAATCGGGAGGGGCCAAGCTGGGGCGGGGAGGATAGCAGCCAATCGGCTGGGGTCTCACCCGGGAGGGGCGGGGCGGCGGGCGGCCAATTGGGCGGGGCGAAGCCCCGCCCCGACTGGCGCGGAGCGGGTCTTGCCTGCAGCCTTGGGCCGGGGTCGCCCTCTGCCCCTGCGGTCAGGTCAGTCAGGGCTCCCCTTCCCCACCCCCGTACCGCGGAGGTAGCATTTTCCCGCCGAGTCCTCCTTCCCAGGCCTCGGTTTACCCCCAGTAAAAGAGCCCACAGCCCTACCCCTGCAGTTGAGGAAACAGTTCTGGCAATGCAGGGGCCAGTGTGGCTAAGGCATCCTGCAAGACCACCCTCCTGGCACAAGCTGCCCATCCCGGCTGCGACTCAGTTTCCCCTAGCTGTGAAATGGTGGCCTATAAGAGTATTGACGGCGATGTCGCTCAGGTTTCCTAGATCTGGCTCCAGGCTCTTGCCAACCCTCCAGCACCTCCCCAGTAAGCGTCCCCACAGAGCTCAACCCGGGCCTGCACTGACCCACTTTGTCTTGGATTCTCCCCGTCAAGTCACAGAGGCCCAGGGGTCCCCCATCCTCTGAGAGGTGTCAGAGCAGATCAAAGGGAGGGGAGGGAGCACAACTCTTGGGTGACCCTGGGCGAAAGCTTGTGGGGCCCAGCTGGCCTCAGATCCTCTCCCTTCCATGTCTTTGACCTATTGGGAAGTGGTAGCTAGAAGGGACGGTTAATCAGGGCTTCTCCTACTATGGTGCACTCCCCACCCCCAGCAGCCTGGCATGGAGGTGCAGCCACCCTGGGGGTCTGGCTTGGCCAAAGGGAAGCGTAGACACAAGAAAGGGTCTGGGCTGGGGCCCTCTCGGGTCATACCCCGCAAACGCAAGGCAACGGCTCTCACACCAAGAACAAGAGACTTATGCTCTGGGTTGAACAGAGCTGGGCCGGCCCACAAAGGTTCAGCAGGCTGGGCAAGAGAGGGGGCCTTAGCCTTGGCTTTCTGCTTCCCACCTGCCTCTCCCCAGACCCCACTCCTCTTCTAGGACACTCCATGCACATAGGCCATGCAACCAGCATGCTCAAGCACTCTGGGTGTCCACTGCATGTTCCTCTGAGTCTCAGTTTCCCTTGAGTTGTCCTTACCACTGGACCCCCTGTAACTTCCATCCGTGGAGCTACCTGGGGCAGGAGCAGAAGACTGTACCACTGCCCTGAGAGAACTTGGCCTGGATGCTTACATGTGAGTCATTTCTGTCTTCTCCTAAATTTCACCATCTGTTACTGCCCTAGCCTCATCCCCCTCTTGGCCCAGCCCAAAGTTGGCCAGGTCCCTAAAGGTGTCCCCTGCCTCCACACACACACACATTGCTTGAGGGCCAGTCCTGCTCCAGCCAGCCTGCTCCAGGTGTCTGGAGGAGGCGACCCTTTCTGCTAGAGGATGAAGGGCAGGCAGCCAGCACTGTGGAGCAGCACCCCGAGACTCTCGACTCCCCAGCCCCAGCTACCTGCCTTGCCACCAGCCTCCAAGCTGCACAGATCCGGGCTCTGACACTTAGGACCAGGTCCAGGCAGCCGTGGCTCACAGGTGGGTCACTAGGCACCTCCTGCTGAGGTGGGTCTGGGAAGCAGGTTTGGCATGGAGGCTGCCAGGCCTGGCCCGCTGGATGTGGCTGCCTCCCCATCAGCCCTGCTTGTCCAGCCACAGCCCTGGGAACACACTCTCTCTGATCTCAGCCTGAGAAACCATCTCCTCCCAAGAGAGAAAACCAAGGGCAGGTCTTGGAGGGCCTTGGGTGGGGAGGGGTAGTGGGCAGGGAGGGTGGTGGCCTGATCTTCAGGCTGCAGCCCTCAGGAGGCCAGGGCAGCTCCAGGCTATGGGAATGTCTTCCCACAGGGGCATTGACCCTCAGCAGCACCCTCTGGGCTGGAGGCCAGAGCCCTTTCTGGCCTGGGAGGGCTGGAAAGAGGGCCTGGAGCCTAAAGAGTGGCCTTGGGGTCATGGGCTGCCACTGTCCCTGTGTGGCCCAGCGGGCTGTTCTGCTCCCCAAATTTGGGGGTGCAGGCCTCACCCTTTGGAATGCCTGGGGTCCAGGGGGCCACAGGGGTGGCCCTCATACGTAGACCCACCTGGCCTCAGTTCCAGCCTCCCATAAACTGGCCGTGCAGCCACCTCAGCACCAGCTGGCTTGGAAAGACAGCTACCCAGTGTGTATGGGCCCACTGAAGATGTGTCTTCAGCTCTGACTGTGGACCATGCTGGGCCGTGCGTATGGATCACCCACTGGTAGATGAGGACATTAAGGCTTGGGGGCAGTTACTGGCCAGGTCCCCCAGCCTGACACAGACCACTGCTTCTGAGCCCCAAACGCCCAGGCTAGATGAAGCTAGTGCACTGGGCCAGTCTCCACCAAGACCCGTAACCCCCTCCTTTTCTCTCCAGCCACAGAGGTCCAGGCCACCCCAAGCCACCAGCACATATGTGCCGGGCCCCCACAGCCAGCAGCCCATCTGGCTCCCTGGAGCTCTGCCCGTGCCCTGCCCTGCATCTCAGTCAATCACAGGAACTGCAACAATCACAGCAAACTCCCTCCTCCCCCACCAGCACCCCAGGAGCCAGGCGCTATTGCCCCATCTGAAGGTTCGGTACTGGGGCACAGCTCGTGTCGAGAGGACCCCATGAGGCCTCCTGACCTGACTGTACATCCCAACTTCAGAGTTCTCAGGGCCTGGCCAAGAGCAGACTGGGCTCTACACCTCCTGGGGCTGAGCAGGGGCAATGGCCAGTCACCTGCTGGGCTGCAGGCAGAGCCTCAGCCCTGCTCAAGCCTCCCCCGGCGCTGACCCACTGACTGATGCAGGCAACGAAGGCAGAGAGACTCCATGGAAGCAAAACCCTCAGTGTCACCAGGCTGACTGCTGAGCTGCCCAGAACAGACCCTGCCCAGCTGTCTGGGCCCTGAGGGCTCACACAAGTGGAAAGTGCTGTTCTGAGGGTTGGGCTGTGTCCTGCCCATTTGTCACATGATGCCCTGCATACCCAAGGGGGTTGGAATCCCACTTTCTTTCCCTCCCCAAAGGCCCCAGGTCGTGCAGTAAGCCACTGCATGCTGGCTTGTGGTCCACCTAGGCCCCTTGATTTTTTCCCCACTTGGCCATTTTCACCCTTCCTGAGTCCCTGGGCTGTTACCTGCAGGACAAGCTGTTGCCAGGCCATCGACAAGGGCTGCCCACTGCCCACACCACTGCTGCCCATGCCAGGCTGCTGGGCACGCTCCAGCTGCAGGGCAACATGGCGCCGTTCCTGCTCCAATGCCCGTGTCAGCCGCTCGAAGCGGGCCTCCTGCTCCTTCACTGAGGCCAGGATGCTGGCAGCCGAGTGCACGTTGCAGTCCTCCATGACCAGGATGCTGGCTGACTGCAGGCAAAGCAGAGCAAGTCAGGGTGGGGCCAGGGCGGGGGCCTGGAGAGGCCGTCGTGGGCCCCCTGCCCACCCCACTCACAGATCACATGACTCACTCCCAGACCACAGCATCCAGCTCTCTGGAGAGAAGCCACATTGATTAAATTCTAAATTAAAAGCCATTAATCCAAGGCTGGCCGGAAGCAGCCGGCTCCCTCCCTGTGGTGTGTGGGGCTCTGACCCGGGCTCCCTGCTTCCTGCCAGGCCCAGCAGAACCTCGGACCATGGGTGTCCCAGAGCCTGCTGGGGAGGGAAGGGAAGGGGAGGGAAGGGAAGGAAAGAAAGAGCTGGTGTGACCAGCTCTCAGACCTCCCAGGCCCTCTGCTGTCCAAAGCACATGCCAGTTCACCCCACCCTCATGGCACCAGCACAGGCCCATCTCACTGAGGTGGGCGCTGGGGCCCAGAGAGGGTGGGGGACCTGTCTGTAGCCACACAGCTCGCACGGCAGAGCTGGCACACTAGTTGGCAGGGAGTGAGAAGTTGCTCCGCAGCCTCTGGGCCACCTAGGCAGGTGCGGGGATGACGCGGGCCTGCAGACCAGTGGTCCCACCTCCACTTCCAGCCACGCTGGCTGGGAGCAAGGGCGGTGTCTACCCCATGCATACAGCCTGGCTGAGATTCCGTGTCCAGAAGTGGCCCATGTGCCTGACGCCTGACCCCGAAGGAGGCTGAGGGCAGGGGCCTGGGCGCCCGAGGCCCAGCGTCTGGAGAGAGTCAGGCCTGCCCGGGCCCCAGCCCAGCGCTGCCCCTGTGGGCCCCCGGGGAGCGGGTGGGGGCAGTGGGGGCTTGGCAGCTGCAAAGACGAGCCAGAGCCAGCGCTTTTCCTTACCACTTGCTCCCTGGCTGACCAGCATGTTTGCTTTTTGTGGGCAAAGAGCAGCAGAAGTATGTGTGCTCAGACCCAGGCGCACGGCAGCGGGTGGGGCGCAGGCCACGCGGGGGCTCCATGTGCAGCACAAAGCCTGACCCAGGCCAGCCCGCCAAGGCCATACCAACATGGGGCCTGGGCATGGCTGGCAGTACCCCTGAAGGGTCAGCTCTGCTGCTCATGGGCCCCTGGGGAACCGGCTGCAAGGACAGAGCCCTGGAAAGGAAGGGTCAGCGCTGGGCTTGGCCATACCAGTGCCAGCTGGGCCAGGGTGCGGGTGCACTTCAAGGTGAAAGGACAGCACAGAGACTCCCTCAGCACCCGCGACAGCTGGGGAAATCAAGGCCCATCGAGGGAAGAGACCAGCGTGGGTCCAGGGCTGGGCTCCACTTCCCCAGCACCTGTCACACAAATCAAACAGCAACGAACTGAATTCCTGCTGGGAGAGGTGGTGGTCAGCACGGGGGTGGTGGGCTGGCTGCAGACCCACGTGATAACACGGAAGGCAAAATATGCATGAATTTTTAAGATGGACCATGAGACTTCAAAGATGCTTTACCCAGCTGATCCTGGGTAGAGGTCGGCTCCAGACTTGCTTCCTCTGCTGTCCCGGGAGGCCTGGGGGCCGCCAGGGAAGTGCCATGTGCGGGACCTCAGTGACCCTCACTCTCCTCTCTGGCCAATGCCTTCCCAGCCTCTGTTCCCCTGCGAGGGCCCCACACTGCCTGCTGGGCAGGCCCCTCCCGCCCCTGCCCAGACCAAGCCACCAGCTTCCTGAGTCCTCGGTGGAGGCCGCTCCTCACCACGCTTGCCCGTCACCCATGGGGTGGATTTAGGAAGAGGACAGGGACAAATGTGCCATGCAGACACAGGCAGCCTGTCCTGGGGCACGTGTCCAGGCCTAGGCACCCCAGGAGTGGCCCCAGGTGGGCGGATGTTGGGTGGTTGGAGGGATGGAAGGGCAGGAGACCAGGTGGAAAGGGACACAGATGAACAGTGAGGGGACGTATGGAGGCTGCCAGGAGGGGGCTGCATGGGAGGGTGGGTGGGTACGGAGGCAGCAGGGTGGGGGGAAAATGGGAGGCGGGCAGGAGGAATGAGTGGATGGGTAGTTGGGTGGATGAATGGGTGAGCAAGGGTGAGGCTGAGAAACACTCCTGGGAAGGGGCCCCCAAACCCGCTGGGGCGCCACTGTGACCAGCGCCCGCTCCCCCATGAGGGTGCAGGCATATGGAGGAACTGAGGAGATGCCCACCCTCCCCTGAAACCATGCCCACACTCAGCGTCTTCCTGCTAAATCAGCCGCTCCTCCTCAGAAGGAGTCCAGCTAAACCCTGCTCCAGAAATCAAATTATGGGACAGAGTCCAATCTGGGTTGAGGAATTAGAGGAATTTCCTACGGGTCAGGCTGGCAGGAGGCCTGGGCTCCAGTGCTGACCCCTCACCGGCCATTTGTTGGTACACTGCCCACTGCCCCAACCTTCACAAGGGGAGGTAGGGGACTGGCTATGGGTGGAGGCCTCCTTTCACACCCCTGGCCCCACCCACTTGATGGGGAGGAAAGTAGGCAGCAGGGGTGCTGAAGGCCACCCACCTGGGAGTGCACGGTGTCCCCCCCATGCTCCCAGCACTGTTCAGGCCTTGCAAGTGCCCATCTTTACCCTACCGCCCCTGCTGTGGTTGGATGGTGCCCACAGCCACAGGGACAGCTTCTGGCCAAGCCCACGAGGACGGGCACTGTGCCACGGCCAGGACCACAGGGTCACCCGTAGTTGGTGTAATGCGGGGGTCGCAGGGTGAGGGGGGGCTTGGATGGGAAGAGTCCGTTCTTGACCTTAAAGCAGTGGAAGGAACTGCCAAGGAAAAAGGACCAGCTTGTCTTTGTGAGAATGAAACATTTCTAAACATCCAGAAAGAGTGCCACGTGCTGTGGTTGTGGCTTGCTTTTCAAGTGTAGCGAGCGTTTCAGACAGACAAGTGGGACTGTACACGTAGACACGGCTCCACTGCTGCGGAAGATGCGCGGGCACGTGGGGACACGACACACTACTCTCCACTGTTGTGTTTGCAATTTTCCATGATATGGGAAGTGGGAGAAAACAACAAAGAAAACAAAATACTGGGATCGTCTTCACAACATCCAGTAGAAAAGTGATATCCTTCATCTATACGGTGACTATATAAGTCAGTAGGAAAAACCGAACCCCAACTCGAGGTGGGAAAAGGTCATCAACAAGGCATGTGGCCCAGAGATGAGGTGCGAAGGATGAGTGTGGAAATGGTCACGCGTGCGCGCGCACACACACACATATACACACGCACTGGAAAGAGGGCATGTCGGCTGCAGCGGTGCTCTGGGTGGAGGGCTCCTGGCCCGCAGGTTGCAGCAGGTCCAAAGTTCTGCACGCACCCATGTTCTCAGAGCTACTGCCTTCTCGAGAGGCAAGTAAGAAATGGGAAAGCAGGTGCCCCTCCCCCACCCCAGCAGGCCAGGCAAGTGAGCGCGAGGCCAGGGAACTCTCCCCAGGGGCTTGGGCGTTGCCGCCCGCCACCTGAGGGAAGCAGCTAGGTTTTCAGGGAGCTGGGAGAACTGTAACAGAATTCAGCCTGGAAATTGGGTTTCCCTAGCAGAGGAGGTGACCCTATCGCCACCTGGACCCAACACCATGGGGGTGGGAGGTGGACAGGGATGGCCCCTCAGTGACCTCCTCCTGCCCCCAAACCGTCCCTGTGGACACCCAGCAGCACCCACTGACCACACAGAGTACAACTGCTCTGTGCAGGGGGAACGGTCTGGGCGGTTCTTCCCAAGGGGCTCGTGCCCTGCACTGATGGGGCGCCCTGGGCTAAGGGAGAGCCAGGTCCCTGGCAGCACTGGTCAGCCCCAGGGCAGGAGCCGCTGGACTGGTGGTCCAGGAGGACCAGGGGCTATGGGGAGGCTGATGCAGGAGGCTCGGAGCCAGGTCAAGGCAGGGACACTTCTGGGAGCCCACGGAGCCTGAGGTCTTGGGAGCTAAGGGCCTGGGGCTGGGCCCAGGGCCAGGGCTGGGAAACGGCCAGGTAACTACAGGCTGGACATGGCAGAGGAGGCCTCACCCTGGCAGGAGGGTGGGCCAGGTGTAGGTGAGCATCCAGCTGCTGCCCCTCCTCATTGGAGGGGTTGAGCCACAGGGAGCCCCCACCAGAGGCCACCAAAGGGTCTCAGTCTGAGATTCCTGCCAGGGCAGGTCACAGACACTTGCTCCAAGTCTCCGGGTTCCCTGCCTCTCTGGGTGGACTTGTGGGATGGCAATGGACAGCAGTCCCCCAGCCCTAGGCTGCCCCTCCTGCACCTGACCCAGATTCCAGCTGCAGCTGCAGCCAGAGGGCAATGCCTGACAGGCTCCAAGTGTGGGGTCTGGGCAGCGAGGACCCACCTCCTCCACAGTCTCTACAGCAGCAGCCAGCCCAGGGGCACCCCAAGGGCAGGGCAGGGAGGGCTGGGGCTGGTGGTCCCTCTGCCTACACCAGCAGCCTACCCACTCCAGCCTGGCCACAATAGGGGAGCCCGGGCATAAGGCTGGGGAACCCCAAGGTGCCCCACTGTGTGGGGTGGGCTGGCCTGTTGCCTCCATACCTCCCACTAGGGTCCCTTTGGGAGGTGGCTCCCCCAACCCCCCACTCCATCTCAGGGAGAGCAGAGCAGCGAGGGGGCAGTTCTGAGGGCCCAGGCTCAGAGCCCCACCCCACCGTGCTCTGGGGTGGGCACAGGAGCCAAGGCGTTCCTGAGGCGGAGCCTGAGGCTCACAGCCAGGCTGGGACCAAACCCGACGGATCCAACTGGCACCGGGGCCTGGGAGCCCAGCTCCTACCCAGGGGCCAAGGGGTCCATGAGACCCCGAGGACCACCCCCCCACCGAAGGCA